TGTGAATCGCCAGGTTTACACTTCACAGCACTCACCATAGCCATACGCTCCCCAATGTCCATAACCCCACCCCACCTCAGGAATACACATTCTTTCTAAGTGCACATGGAATATTCTCCAAAATAGATCACATACTGGATCACAAATCAGGTCTTCGACAAATACAAAAAGAATGAGATCATACCATGCATATTTTCAGACCATAATGCTATGAATCCTTAAGTCAACCACAAGAAAAAATTTGGAAAGATCACAAATACATGGACATTAAAGAACATTCTACTAAAGAATGAAGAGGGGGGTACCTGGGTGGCTCAGTGGGTTAAGCGTCTGTCTTTGGCTCAGGTCATGATCTCAGGATCCTGGGATCAGGCCCCACATCAGGCTCTCTACTCAGCAGGGAGCCTGCTTCCCCTCTCTCCCTACCTACCTGTGATCTCTGTCAAATAAATAAATTAATTAAATATTTAAAAAAAAAAAAAGAATGAAGAGGTTAACCAGGAAATTAAAGAAGAAATTTTTTAAAAAAAGATTTTATTTATTTGAAAGACAGAGATCACAAGTAGGCAGAGAGGCAGGCGGGGGGCAGGGGCGGAAGCAGGCTCCCCGCTGATCAGAGAGCCCAATGCGGGACTCCATCCCAGGACCCTGGGATCATGACCCGAGCCGAAGACAGCGGACCAACCCACTGAGCCACCCAGGCACCCTAAAGAAGAAATTTTTAAAAATCCACGGAAGCAAATGAAAACCGATAGTCCAAAACCTTGGGGATGCAGCAAAGGTGGTCCTGAAAAGAAAGTATACTGCAATACAAGCCTACCTTGAAGCAAGAAAAATCTCAAATATACAACCTAACCTTACACCTAAAGGAAGCTAGAAAAGGATCAGCAAATAAAGCCTAAAGCCAGCAGAAGGAAGGAAATAAAAAGATTAGAGCAGAAATAAAAAAACTAGTAGGACAGATCAATGAAACTAAAATATTTTTCTCTGAAAGAATAAAACTGATAAACCCCTAGCCAGACTTAATCAAAACACAAAAAGACCAAAATAAATAAAATCACCAATGAAAGAAGAGAGATCACAACCAACACCACAGAATTATAATTATTAGAGATTATTAGGAAAAACCATATGCCAACAAAACAAGCATCTGGAAGAAATGGATAAATTCTTAGAAATCCACAAACTGCCAAAACTGAAACAGAAAGAAAAAAATTTAAATAGACCCATAACCAGCAAAGAAACTGAATCTGTAATCAAAAATCTCTCAAATACAAAAGTCCAGGGCCAGATGGCTTCCCAGGGGAATTCTACTAGACTTAAAAAAAAAAAAAGTTAGGGGCGCCTGGGTGGCTCAGTGGGTTGGGCCACTGCCTTCGGCTCAGGTCATGATCTCCAGGTCCTGGGATCGAGCCCCGCATTGGGCTCTCCACTCAGCGGGGAGCCTGCTTCCCCTCCCCTCTCTCTCTGCCTGCCTCTCTGCCTTCTTGTGGTCTCTGTCTGTCAAATAAACAAAATCTTCAAAAAAAAAAAAAAAAAAGTTAATACACATTCTTCTCAAACAGTTCCAAAAAAATAGAAATAAATGGAAGGAAAACTTCTAAATTCATTCTATGAGGCCAGCATTACCTTGATTCCAAAACCAGACAAAGACCCCACCAAAAAAGAGAATTATACCTAATATATAATTGATGAACATGGGTGTGAAAATTCTCAACAAGATATTAGCAAATCAAATCCAACAGTTCATTAAAAGTATATTCAAACATTCTTCTGCATGTGGCTGTCCAGCTTTCTCAGCACCATTTGTTGAAGAAGACTATTTTTTCCATTGGATATTCTTTCCTGCTTTGTCAAAGATTAGTCAACCATGGAGCTGAGGGTCCATTTCAATAATTGAGGGTATATTTTAATAATTTCAATTATTAAAACAATTATTCACCACAATCAAGTGGGACTTATTCCTTGGCTGCAGGAAAGGTTCAATATTCGCAAATCAATCAACATAATATACCACATGACTAAGAGAAAGGACAAGAACCATATGATCCTCTCAAGTGATGCAGAAAAAGCATTTATTTATTTATTTATTTTTTTAATTTATTTGACAGACAGACAGAGAGATCATAAGTAGGCAGAGAGGCAGGCAGAGAGAGAGGAAGGGAAGCAGGCTCCCTGCTGAGCAGAGAGCCCGATGCAGGACTCAATCCCAGGACCCTGGGATCATGACCCGAGCCGAAGGCAGCGGCCTAACCCACTGAGCCACCCAGGCGCCCAGAAAAAGCATTTAATAAAGTACAGCATTCTTTCTTGATTAAAACTCTTCACAGAGGGAACATACCTCAATATCATAGAAGCCATATACAAAAAGCCCACAGCAAATATCATTCTCAATGGAGAAAAACAGAGCTTTCCTCCTAAGGTCAGGAACATGGCAGGGATGTCCACTGTCACCACTGTTGTTCAACATAGTACTAGAAGTCCTAGCCTCAGCAATCATGCAACAAGAAGAAATAAAAGGCATTTCAATTGGCTAAAAAGTCAAACTCTCACTCTGCAGATGACATAATATTCTATGTAGAAAACACAAAAGATTCCACCTCAAAATCACTAAAACTCATATAGGAATTCAGCAAAGTGGCAGGATATAAAATCAATGCAGAGAAATCAGCTGCATTTCTATATGCTAACAATGAGACAGAAGAAAGAAATTAGGGAGTCAATTCCATATACAAATGCACCAAAAACTGTAAAATACCTAGAATTAACCTAACTAAAGAGGCAAAGGATTTGTACTCACAAAACTACAAAACACTCATAAAAGAAACTGAGAAAGACAAAGATATGGAAAAACATTCCCTGCTTGTAGACCTTCAAGAACAAATACTGTTAAAATGTCTATGCTACCTAGAGCAATCTACACATTCAATGCAATCTCTATGAAAATACCATCAACTTTTTTCAGAGCTGGAACAAATAATCCTAAAATATATATGGAACCAGAAAAGACCCCAAATAGCCAAAGGAATGTTGAAAAAGAAAACCAAAGCTGGTGGCATCACAATTCTGGACTCCAAGCTCTACTGCAAAGCTGTAATCATCAAGACAGTATGGTACTGGCACAAAAACAGACATATAGATCAATGGAACAGAACAGAGAACCCAGAAATGGACCCTCAACTCCATGGTCGACTAATCTTCGACAAAGCAGGAAAGAATGTCCAATGGAAAAAACACAGTCTCTTCAACAAATGGTGCTGGGAAAACTGGACAGCAACATGCAGAAGAATGAAACTGAACCACTTTCATATGCCATTCACAAAAATAAATTCAAAATGGATGAAAGACCTAAATATGAAACAGGAATCCATCAAAATCCTTGAGAACATAGGCAGCAACCTCTTTGACCTCAGCCATAGCAACTTCTTATTAAACACGTCTCTAGAGGCAAGGGAAACAAAAGCAAATCAAAAGTGAACTACCGGGACATCACGATAAAAAGCTTCTACACAGTGAAGAAAAAAATCAACAAAACTAAAAGAAAACCTACAGAATGGGAGAAGGTATTTGCAAATGACGTGTCTGAAAAAGGGTTAGTATCCAAAATCTATAAATAACTTATCAAACTCAACACCCAAAAAATGAATAATCCAGTTAAGAAATGGGCAAGAAGGGGCGCCTCGGTAGCTCAGTCACTTAAGCAGCTGCCTTCGGCTCAAGTCACATTCCAAGAGTCCTGGGATCAAGCCCTGCATTGGACTCCCTGCTCAGTGGGGAGCCTGCTTCTCCCTTTCCCTCTCCCTGCCACTCCCCCTGCTTGTGCTCGCTCTGTGAAATAAATTTTAAAATCCTAAAAAGAAAAGAAAAAAGGGGGGGGCAGAAGACACAGACATTTTTCCAAAGATATATAGTTGCCTAATAGGCACATGAAAAGATGCTCAACTTCACTCATCAGGAAAATACAAATCAAAACCATAATGAGATACCACCTCACACCTATCAAACTGGCTAAAATTTACTAGCACAGAAAACAACAGGTGTTGGCGAATATATGGAGAAAAGGGAATCCTCCTACACTGTTGATGAGAATGCAAACTGATGCAGCCACTCTGGAAAACTGTATGGGGGGGGTCCCTCAAAAAGTTAAAAACAGAACTACCCTATGACCCAGCAATTATACTACTAGGCATTTACTTAAAGGACACAAAATTACTGATTCAAAGGGGCACATGCACCATGATGTTTATAGCAGCATTATCAACAACAGCCAAAATATAGAAAGAACCCAAATATCCATGGATGAAGAAGATGGTATATAACTTGGCCATCAAAAAGAATGAAAGCTTGCCATTTGCAATGACATGGACAGAACTAGAAGATACTGGGGCACCTGGGTGGCTCAGTAGGTTAAGCATCTGCCTTTAGCTCAGGTCATGATCTCAGGGTCCTGGAATTGAGCCCAATGTTGGGCTCCCTGCTCAGCAGGGAGTCTGCTTCTCCCTTTCCCTCTGCTTCTCCCTTCTGCTTCTGCTCTCTCTCACTCTCCCTCTCACATAAATGAGGGGAAAAAAAGAGAACTGAGTGATTATAGAGGGAGGTGAGTGGGGAAATGGGCTAACTGGGTGATGGGTATTTAGGAGGGCACTTGTGATGTGCACTGGGTATTATATGTAAGTGATGAATCACTAAATTCTACATCTGAAACAATTTCACCATATATGTTAACTAGAATTTAATTAAAAACTTGAAGAAAAACAAAACCAAAACACTGCACTGTATCCTTTAAGGGGGTTAACTGTATCCTATGTGAATTAAACCTCAATGAAGCTGTTACAGAGAAATTAAAAATCAAGAGATCCCTTCATTTTCTAATCCTTGCTGAAAAGTGGTGAATTCCTTTCATTTTTAAATAGAGCTCAATTCTAAATTGAGCTTAATTCTGACTGTGATGCTAATTTTAAGTAAATTTTTAAACCAAATCACAACTTTTAAACAAATACCTGTTTGCACAGCAGTATCCTTTTTGGGAGAGGTTGTAGAATTGATACATGTATTCTTTTTACCACTGACATCATCCAAGCCATGTCCTAAATTTGAAATGTTGTTAGTCACCTTATCAAATAGCAAGAGAAATAAATTATCCAACATAATGACAGTTCAGGAAGATTAAGAGAAAGTATGTGTAGCAGCAACTATATACGCACAAGATTTTCAGGGTAATCAATGTGAACACTACAATAAAAATATAAAAGGGCTATCCTAAATTTTCTTACAAAAAGTGACCTGCATTTTTATCCCTTATTGAATATGAGGATCCTTTCAGAGATTGCTCTAAAAACACTGGGTAAAAAAAAGTATACATTTTACCTACTATAAACAAAACATAAGAAAATTTATGTAAAATGTAGGAAACAAAGGCAGAAGATGAGCAAGGATGAGCAAGAAGAGGAGGCTTTCAACCAGAAACATGCATTGCAGAAGGCCAAGGACGTCAGCCCAATGTCTGCACCCAACATGCCTTCTATCGAAAGAGACAGAAGGCGAAGACACCACATGTCGATGTGGGAGCCACGGAGCAGCCACCTGTATGAGGGAGCGGAGGCGCCGGCAGCACATGTCGGTGTGGGAGCAGGCCACCAGCCAGCTGCGAAGGCACATGCAGATGTCCAGCCAGGAGGCCCTCAATAAAGAGGAGGCCCCACCAATGAACCCCCTCAACCCCCTCAACCCGCTGAGCCCCCTCAACCCACTCAATGCCCACCCCAGCCTCTACTGGAGACCCAGGCCCATCGAGGGTCTGGGCCTGGGCCTGGAGAAGTGTGAGGAGGAGCGCATCAGCCGCGGGGAGTCCCTCAAGGGGGATGGAGGGGACCTGTCGAGTGCCCTGGACAACCAGAGGAGCCCCCTGTCCCTGGGCAAACGGGAGCCACCATGGCTGGCCTGGCCCTGTAATGGCCACTGTGACCCGACCCAGTAAGAGGCTGGGGGAGGGGAGACCGTGGTAAAAAAAATAAATAAATAAATAAATAAAATTAAATTTCCTTACTACTTACGGCCCACTGACAAGTCCTTGAAATAGGTCATTAGTGACATTCCTCTAGGAACTCAACTGCCTGGATGTTCACACTTTGCTAAGGGCAGAACGTAATCTTAGCTCAACCCCCACGATCTTGCACGTCTATTGTAACATAAAAAAAATTCCTCTGGAAACTGCCTTTATCTCTACCCCTCTCCCCAATACATATTGGCAATCATCCCCCAATCATATGACCCACTGATATACATCTGAAGGGTCTCATAACTAAGTTTTTATTAGACAGTAATAAATGACATTTTCCCAACAATAGCTAGCCCCCTCAAGGTCCTGGAAACTGTGCTTCCAAATTCCTTATACTTACACTATCCCTAACCCCTCACAACTTGAAGTATATGATGAGCCACTCTTCACGACCCTAGTACAACTCTTTCTGCCCATGGGTCCTGTCCCCGTGCTTTAATAAAACCACCTTTTTGCACCAAAAACATCTGGAGAATTCTTGGTTGTTGTCTTCAAACCCTAACATCCTTCCTGTATCAAAGAAGATTATTGGAAAGTGTAACATTATTTAGTTTTTCTCTTAAACCAATCTCCCAAACAAAATAAGCATTTTTATAAAGTTACATCAGTTCAAGATCTGAAATTCCTAAAACAGTATTTAGTCACTAGGTGTGTTAGAGGTACCAAAAATAGGCAGTTATTTAAAATCCTCTTCAAAAGATATTTTAAGTAAAATTCTAGTGAACTGCTTACCACCAAGATTTTTAATCAATCCAGAAGTGTCGTGTCCCTTTTGAGCCAATTCTCGGATTCTCTGTTCTTGTTTCAGCCTCTGTGCTAGCTCCTGTGCTCTCTGCATTGTCTGAAATAGCTCATTTGTTTTGAGAGTCATGATTTCCTGTTAATATTGAAGGGCACAGAATTATTAAATGCAATTATCAGACACCTATAGACTTAACTATTCTGAGCAGATTAGCTCCTACTATGTGCCAGGCACTATTCAAGATACTGGGAAAAAGTCAACAGGGCAAAGCTTCTCCCTTTTGGAACTTACATTTTAGTATCATATTCTACAGCTGTATTAGACCACAAATGTAAGAATTCTTTTACCCACTGAAGTTTATTATAATAAAGTTTTTAAAGCTTCTAAAACCAGTGATTAATCCCATCAAAATTCCATTAAGATTAAAAACAGATTATTAAGAGGTAAAACACAGGATTTACGGCCATTTCTTGCAATTCAAACAAATGACCCTTTGACTTTATTCACATATATAGTTTTTTCATAGGAGTAGTTGGCTTAACCTATTCAACATAATGAAAATAGAACCCAGATCATCCGCTTCATCAGTGTGGAGTTAAGGCTGAAAATGGGAAAAATCAAGAAAATGCAGGCTCTGGGTTGCATCTCCGAGGGCGAGGGGAAATGCTCTATGCTCTACTATAAACTTCACAAATCCTTGGCAATCACATGTCATTGTAGGATTTGCTCATGTCAGGTCAGCTCAAACATGACACTTCACACAATCATCCCTATGCCACATGTACCACTTAACAGAGATGTTCTTGTAGCTAACCAGGTATCTACTCTTTTTTAAAAAACAATCTTATTTAGGGACACCTGGTTGGCTCAGTTGGTTAAGCGGCTGCCTTCAGCTTAGATCATGATTCCACTGTCCTGGGATCGAGTCCTAGATCTGGCTCCCTGCTCAGTAGGGAGCCTGCTTCTCCCTCTGCCCCTCTCCCTGCTTGTGCTCTCCCTTGTGCTCTCTCTCTCTAACAAATGGATAAATAAAATCACAAAAAATAAAAAAAATTTGGGCGCCTGGGTGGCTCAGTGGGTTAAAGCCTTTGCCTTCGGCTCAGGTCATGATCCCAGGGTCCTGGGATCGAGCCCGGAATCGGGCTCTCTGCTCAGCAGGGAGCCTGCTTCCCTTCCTCTCCCTCTTGCCTGCCTCTCTGCCTACTTGTGATCTCTGTCTTTCAAATAAATAAATAATATCTTTAAAATAAATAAATAAATAAAATTTTATAATTAAAAAAAAAAAGATCTTATTTAAGCACACAGGAAAACTCTAACACAGCAATGAAATGTATCATCAATCCCAGCCAATCACTGAAAATATATGCTCCTGTTCACTAATGGATACAGACAGAAAGGCCAATCATTTCTTTTAACACATCTAGGATATTTATTAATAATTACTGCTTAGGCGTGCATGGGTGGCTCAGAGAGTTAAGCCTCTGCCTTCGGCTCAGGTCATGATCTGGGTCCTGGGATCAAGCCCCACATTGGGCTCTCTGCTCAGCAGGGAGCCTGCTTCCCCTCTCTCTGCTTGCCTCTCTGCCTACTTGTGATCTGTCAAATAAATAAATAAAATCTTAAAAAAAATAATAATTATTGCTTAGAAAACATTTCAAAATGAAGCACATGGGTAATTTTTTTTTGTGCTGTACTGGTCTTTCTTAGCAGAGGAAAAAACCCATGCAATATGGCATTTGTGAACTGATCACTTGAAATAATTAAACCTTCTCTAGATTCTCCTTTACATTCATAACCTTTATAATGCAACACTTCAGTGTTTCTGCATACACCTTCAAAATTTCAAAACAGATGCAAATGTTCAACTTCTGATTATTTTTCTTTTAAAAATATACCCATTTTTACTCTATCCATTTTTACTCTATAATGTTATTTATAATATAAATACTACCATGTTGATAGTTTGGAAGAACACTTTTTTTTTTTTTTTAAAGATTTTATTTATTTCTTTGACAGAGAGAGATCACAAGTAGACAGAGAGGCAGGCAGAGAGAGAGGGAGGGAAGCAGGCTCCCTGCTGAGCAGAGAGCCCGATGCGGGACTCGATCCCAGGACCCTGAGATCATGACCTGAGCCGAAGGCAGTGGCTTAACCCACTGAGCCACCCAGGCGCCCCTTAATATTTTATTTATTTATTTGACAGACAGAGATCACAAGTAGGCAGACAGGCAGGCAAAGACAGAGGAGGAAGCAGGTTCCCTGCTGAGCAGAGAGCCTGATGCGGGGCTCGATCCCAGGACCCTGAGATCATGACCCGAGCTGAAGGCAGAGGCTTTAACCCACTGAGCCACCCAGGCACCCCAGAAGAACTAACACTTTAAACGTCCATTCTATTAAAGCAATCTACAGATTGAATGTAATCCCTATCAAAATACCAACAGAATTTTCCACAGAGCTAGAACAAATAATCTTAAAATCTGTATGGAACCACAAAGGACCCCAAATAGCCAAAGCAATTCTGAGGAAGCAGAACAAAGCTGAAGGTATCACAATCTTAGATTTCAAACCATATATGCTACAAAGCCAGTACTCAAAATAGTATAGCAATGGCACAAAACAGATCAAAAGAAGATGAAAGGGAGCCCAGGAATAAAACCATGCTTATATGGTCAACTAATGTATGACAAAGAAGGCAAGAATATCCAATGGGAAAAAGACAGTCTCTTCAATAAAATATGCTGGGAAAACTGGACAGTTACATCAACAAGAATGAAATTGTACCACTTTCTTCCGCCACACACAAAAATAAACTCAAATGGATATAAACTGTGAGACCTAAGACCATAAAACTCCTTAAAGGAAACAGAGGCAGTATCCTCTTGGACACTGGCATTACCATGGGCCTGCGCTGTACATTTATACTGGAATTTTAATTTCCATTTTCTAGATCTGTCTCCTCAGGCATAGGAAATAAAAGCAAAAATAAACTGTTGGGATTACATCAAAATAAAAAGCTTCTGCACAATAAAAGAAACCATCCACAAAACAACAAATTACTGAATGGGAGAAGATATCTGCAAACAACATATGTGAAAAGGAGTTAATATCCAAAATATACAAATAACTTGTACAACTCAACACCAAAACCAAATAATGATTTTTTTTTTTTTTTAAGGGAGACAGCATGACCACATGAATGGGGAGATAGGCTGACAGAGTGGGGGTGGGGGGAGAATCTTAAGCAGGCTCCACACTAGGCTTGATCTCACAACCCAGTGAGCATGACCTGAGCTGAAACCAAGACTCAGACACTTAGTCAACTGCCCCCAAAATAATTTAATTTTTAAAAAAGATCAGAGGACCCAAACATTTTCCCAAAGCATACAGATGGCTAACAGACACAGGAAAAGATCCTCAACATCACTAATGATCAGGGAAATGTGAATCAAAACCATTAATTATATCATCTCACCATCGTCAGAACAGCTAGTATCAAAAAGACAAGAAACAACAAGTGTTGGTGAGGATGTAGAGAAAAGGGAACCCTTGTGCACTATTGGTAAGAATGGAAATTGGTATAACCTGTGGAAAACAATAAGGACCCTCCTAAAAAAATTAAAAGTAGAATTACCACACGGTCTAGTAATTTCACTATAAAGTACTTACCCAAAGGAAACAAAAGATATATGCACCCAAATGTTTACTGCAGCATTATTTGTAACAGCCAAGATATGGAAGCAACTCAAGAATCCATCAGCAGAAGAATGGATAAGAAAATGTAGTGTATACAAAAGTAGAGTATTATTCAGCCATAAAAAAAGATGGGACGCCTGGGTGGCTCAGTTGGTTAAGCGGCTGCCTTCGGCTCAGGTCATGATCCCAGCATCCTGGGATCGAGTCCCACATCAGGCTCCTTGCTCAGCGGGGAGCCTGCTTCTCCCTCTGCCTCTGCCTCTGCCTGCCACTCTGTCTGCCTGTGCTCACTCTCTCTGACAAATAAATAAATAAAATTTAAAAATAAAAAAAAAGAATGAGATCTTGCCATTTGCAATAACACGGATGGACCCAGAGGGTATTATGCTAAAGTCAGTCAGTCAGAAGGGAAAGATCAATACCATATGAAGTCACTTATATGTGGAAACTAAAAAGATAAAATGAAAAGCAAAACAAAAAACCCCAAACAAACAAAAAAACAGACCCACAGGGGTGCCTGGGTGGCTCAGTGGGTTAAATCCTCTGCCTTTGGCTCAGGTCATGATCCCAGGGTTTTGGGATTGAACCCATCGGGCTCTCTGCTCTGCAGGGAGTCTGCTTCCTCCTCTCTCTTTCTCTCTCTCTCTGCCTGCCTCTCTGCCTATCTCTCTGCCTTCCTCTCGGCCTACTTGTGATCTCTGTCAAATAAACAAGTAAAATCTTTAAAAAACAAAACAAAACAACAGACTCACAAACTGGTAGCAGGGAAGAGGGAGTTAGTAAATGAGGGAAGAGGAGTGGGAGGTACAGGCTTCCAAATATTAAATGAACGAGTCATAGGGACGAAAGCAACAGTATAGGGAATACAGTCAATGGTACTATAATAGTGTGTATTGTATGCCTGTCAACATGGTATAACATATAGGACTCCTGAATCACTATGTTGTTGTACACCTGAAACTAATGTAACACTGTGTTAATTATATTTCAATGAAAAAAATTTTAATATATACTTACTTCCTTTTGTTTTTGCTTAAGTATGTCTTCTTCATACTGTTTCTGCATCTCTTCTCGTTCCCGTGCTAAGCGACGCTCCTCTTCTTGTTCTTCCTTCTTTCTTTGCTGTTCTTCCAGCTCTTTCTTCCTGCGTTTCTCTTCTACCTGAGCGGTGATGGCTTTCTAGTTATAAATCATAAATCACAAAATGCACTGTCACAAATTAAAAAAATCTATTTGAAGCATTTGAATTTCTAAAGTAAGTTTATCAGTAGCAGATAATATATAATGCAATATTACATATATAAATGAAGTTAAAATGTCAAATTTCCAATGTATTTATCCCATCTCTTGTTCCTGGAATTCTATATGCTTTTTCTTTTAAGAGAGGAGGTCTGTTAGAAGAAGTAATCCAAAAACAACTAAAAAAATCTCAGCACTTAGCATAGTGCCTGGTAAGTAGCAGACATTCTGTAATTCACTTACTGATTAAGATTAACAATATAAATTACATCGAATTCTTCATGTATCAAATGTTTTAAAGAATTATTCAGAATTTTAAGTCCTTTTAGTGTTAGATTAAAATTAGAATTTTAATCTTAGTCTCCTTCCTTATATTATCTGCTAGATTTCTCAATCAGAATTCTACTTCAGTGCCCTGTATAGTTCCCTTAAAAGAACTAATTCTCATCCTAAACAAAATTCAGGAGACCTATAAACAGATGAAAAAAAAAAATAACCAGTACTAAGTTAAGATTTAGTGCCATTTCATATATAAAACATATATTAAAGACCTTGTCTTCTGGAAGGCAAGTGGCTGGTTGTACTATGCGATACTGTCTGGTTCTCAGCATCAATATAATTTGAGTATTACTGCCAGCTGGAGTAAAAATTAGATTCATCACAGAAATGGAAGGGCCTGTGCTGCACATTTATATTGGAATTTTAATTTCCATTTATTTAGGTATCCGCTGGAAATGACTTTACTTATTAAGGCAAAGAATAGTATTTTACAATGCAATACCTGATGTTCTAACTGTTTTTGTCGTCGCCTCTCACGTTCTTCAATCTGAGCTGGATCCAAGAGAGCAGTCATAGAACGGAGAAAGCTGGCAAGATGGACACTTTAGTTACACAAAACCCCCAAAAGATGCTAAATCATTTTTGCTCCAGATACATCCACTAGTAATTTCTACTTTAAAGGAAAATACCAAACCTGAAATCAATTAACACGTATTATAAATATAATGACAGTCCTTTTAAAAGCACATAGACTTTCTTAAACATTAATAAATACTGAAAAATAAACTTACTTTGTTTTCTGACTATCTGCCATGGTCTTATCTCTAACTGGTTTTGCCATATGCTCCTCCTCTGAAGGTTCAACCTGGCTTCCAGTCATAGGCGTATAAACACTGCTGGTATCAGCCAGTTCGTGAGTGTCCGGAGAGACACAGAAGTACTCTGGTTGGTTGTGTGTTGACCAAGAAGACAGTTGAGACTGAGAAGCAGGATAGGACTTTAACGAATCAAAATGCATTGCCCATCTGTCATGTTCCTCACCCTAATCATGATAAATAAGAATTACTAAGAATTCTTCCAATTGTTCTCATGTATAAAGTTCTAAAATGATAATCAAACACAATTTTTAAAAGTCACCACAGAGCAGAATAAGCATCACAAAAATTAACAGAGCTATATTCTTTATTAATTCCATATATACTTAGGTAACTAACATGAAGAGTACGAGAAATTCAAATTAGGAAATTCCTGAAAAGCCAGTTTTAAGAAATTACACAAAATCACTTACTAAATGCATTCAATAAAAGGTTTACAAGAGCAAATGTGTATTAATTTGAATACTGTAGTCTTGTCAAATAGCTTTAGGATACTTTTAGGTTTAAAAGTATTGTATCAATATCAAAAGTATTGTATCAAAAGTATTTGATTAAGGACTCAAATTATTTTTTTTCCCGTGACAACATCCACCTAAATTTGTTAAGTTACCTTTGAAGATGTAATTTTTTCCTCTATTTTTCTTTGCCGATCATCTTCTATTTGCTTGTTCAAATCTTCAATCCATTTCCTATGCTGTTCTTGTTTCATGGCACTGAAAGGGCGCTCCCGTGGTACTGCTTCCTAAACAGTAGTCATCAACACTATTTAAATTACAACTCTCTCTTTCTAACCACTTTATCAATCTTGACAAGAATTTATACAAACAGAAAGGCATTTATCTCTGAGAGGAACAACTGTATACAAAAAATTTTGAATTATACAAGACTTAAACAGATGTATTCCAATTTTCAGAATCATACTTGTAACATAAAGTAGAGAACATAGAATAAATGTAAATGTAAAAAAAATAAATTTTTTCAGGGTGTCTGGGTGGCTCAGTAGATTAAACCTCTGCCTTCAGCTCAGGTCACGATCTCAGGGTCCTGGGATCGAGCTCCATATCGAGCTCACTGCTCGGCAGGGAGACTGATCCCCCTCCCTCTCTGCCTGCCTCTCTGCCTACTTGTGATCTCTGTCAAATAAATAAATATTAATAAGTAAATAAATAAATACCTTTTTAAAAATAAATAAATGAATAAATTTTTTCTAAACTAAGTATAAGATTTTTCAAAAGTCTATCCTAATAGTCTTCTTTAGACTCTGAAAGGAGTTACAGATAATTTAAAATAGATGAATATTGTTTTAAATTTGGCTTCAGGATAAAACAAATACTGCCTTTGTACCAAAAGCCAGGAGGATATAAGAGAGCCAGAGGCTTTCTCTCCTGAATCATGTCTCTCTAGGATATCCCTCTTTTCCATTTCTACTGCTATAGCCCTATCACAGTCTATGACATTTCAATAAGAAAAACGTATTATGTTCAGGTTAAGTCCTTGAATTCTAAGAAAAAAACCAAAAATTAAAAATTGAACAGTAGCATAAAAATTTCTTAATTGAAGTTGCTTCTTAATTTATGAGAATTTGGTATGCTCTAACAAAAAGAAAAGAATATATTCTACTCAGATTGTCCTGAAAGGCAAAAGCTAAGCAACACTTTGTTGTACAGAATAACTGCAGGATACGATTTAAAAAATAGTTTGACAGAATACTACAATGGCAATATACCTGATGTTACTTTCTGCCTTTGTTTTTAACAGAAACAATGGCAAAGCTCCTAGTTTATAAGCAGTTGCTTAAATCAAAGGAAATATCTATAAAAAAGAAAAAAAATCTTAGTATCTCATGTATTCTTACATGTTTTAAAGAGATAAAAACCATCACATTTCTTTAAGCCTAAAAGAACCACTTCAAAAGGAGCATTATCTTCAGGTAGGTAACTGAACAATTCTAGCTCTAAAAACGTTATCTTAAGGATGAAAATGGAAAAGAAAAACAAATGGCCCTTTGAACTCCTTATAAGACATTCTCAACATGGCACTCAATCACCTTAGAACTCTGTTCACATTTCTTACATATGATTTAACCATATTTGGTTTCAAATCGGTTTTTTCAGTTTATCTTTGAATTTTTTTTACATACACATTTGAGTGAAATAATATGGTATCTGTCCTTCTCTGACTTACTTTGCTTAGCATTTTACTCTCTACGTCCATGTTGTTGCAAATGGCAAGATTTCATTCTTTTTTATAGCTGGGTTATATTCCATTGTACATATACCATATCTTTTTTTTTTTTTAAGATTTTATTTATTTATTTGACAGACAGAGATCACAAGTAGACAGAGAGGTAGGCAGAGAGAGAGGAGGAAGCAGGCTCCCTGCTGATGAGCAGAGAGCCCAATGTGGGGCTTGATCCCAGGATCGTGACCTGAGCAGAAGGCAGAGGCTTTAACCCACTGAGCCACCCAGGCACCCCTATACCATATCTTCTTTATCCATTCATCTATGGATAATTGGGCTGCTTCCGCAATTTGGACGTTGTAAATAATGCTGCAATGAACATAGGGGTGCACCTACCTATTCGAATTAGTGTTTTCTTATTCTTTGGGTAAAAACCCAGTTCTGCAATTACTGGGTCTTATGGTGTTCTATTTTTCATTTTCTACGCATACTCTTTTCCACAGTGGCTGCAGAAGTTTGCATTCCTACCAAGAGCATGTGACAGTTCCTTTTTCTCCACATCCATGCCAATACTTGTTTCTTGTGTTTTTGATTTTAGCCATTCTGACAGGTGTGAGGTGATATCTCATTATACTTTTCATTTGCATTTCCCTGATGCTGAGTGATGCTGAGTATCTCTTCATAGGTCTATTGGCCGTCTGTAGTATGTCTTCTTTGATGAAATGTCTGTCCTGTCTCTGCCCCTGCCCCTCCCGCTCATGATCTTTCTCACTTTCTAAAATAAATAAATAAGTAAATAAATCTTTGAAAACAATTTCTCTGTAGTTTTAGCAATTTCTCAATTGAGAAACTGAGATATTGAAGTCTTCATTTATTTAAATCTACCAATTTTTGCTTCATTTATTTTATCAGATTCATGCATGTTAAAAATTGTTATTTCTTGATTTCCTAAATCTTCTATCTATATTTACAACCCTCACCATCCCTAATAATGATCTTATTTTTATTAGTGTAGCAATAACAATTTTATTTTGGTTAGCATTTCTTTTTTTTTAATCCTATTATTTTAAACCTTGCTGCATTCCTATGCTTTACATGTGTCTTGTATTCTAGAAAGTATCTAGATTTCTTTATGCTAATCAGTATTTTCTTAATTGGTGAGTTTTGGTTCACTTAGATTATATTTATTGATGTATTTGGTCCTATTTCTATCTTAATCTTACATTCCACTTTATCTTACTTTATTTTTAAGGCTCTCTTTAAATTTTTGACGTCAAAGATATCATCTTCTAATAAGAACTTAATATGCTCTCATATCCTTTGACCTTGCCTTCCTCTGCCAACCCATCAAGATTGGTATTAACTAGACCTTTTTTATTTGTTATAAAGGTAACAATCCACTCTACTAAGGTAAATAATCACAAATCTCTTACAGTATCCCTTAATTTACCTTACCTTTTCGGTTAAGCACTTCATTCAAAACTGTTTTCAGTGTCACCTTTTAATAAAAATCATCAGAGCACTTTAATGCCTGAGGATATTTTATTATCTACTCTCATTTCAATGATAGTTTGGCTAGATATTAAATTCTAAATTGTAGTAGTTATCTTGTACCCAGTGCTACTGCCAGGAAAAAAAAAAAAGCTCATACTTGTTCTCTTTTATATTGCTTGTTCTTTCTTTTTGCAGGCTTTTAGAATTTCTGGGTCTTCCATATTCTTAAATTTCAGGTTAGTATGTGTAGTGAGGTCTTCCTTATTCTCTTTTTGGGGTGCTTTCTAGCCCTTTAAATCTGAGGTCAGTTAACAAACGGATCTCAATTACTTTTTCAAATATTTCCTCTCTTCTCCCAATGTCCCTCTTGTTTGGAGGGAAAAGTCAGCATTTCTATTTTCATTCTCATACTGCCTTAAATTTTTTTTCCCTATTTGTCCTTTCCCTTTTCAAGATATTTTCTAAATATGTCCTACCAATTATTTATTTACTCCCTAGCTCTATCATTTCCATTAGTTCACATCTATTGTATTTTACACTTTTTTTTAATGTTTCACACCTAAATTTTCTGCATGGTTGTCTCTGTTCTATGTTCTCATTTGTAACACTTTCCCTTCTTTTATTATGTTCATTAGACTAAATTTATCAATTTATCTGTCCTAATATTTTTGCTTCTGTTAGACTCTGATATACTCTATCTACACTTCTTCCTTTGAAATAGCTGTGCTCCTCCAACATTTTTGTTATTTGCAGCAGTTCATTTTTTTTCCTGGCACTATCAACCAAACTTGTCCAGCAGTGAACAGCCAAATATTCAGTGGGAGGAATGGCAAAGAGCAGACTAGCCCTAGGGTTGAAACTTAGGGTGTTAAACTACAATCACTCCTCCAGAGCTTCTTTTTAGGGAGCATTCCTTAGACTGTTATTGTAATTCACGAGACAAGTGACTATGAACAGGAAGGAGTACAGTAGTCTCCACCTGATTTTCCAAGTTCCTGCAAAGAAGTAAGATTTAAGCAAGGACTGGCCCAGGATTTTATTCTAGAGGACAGCTAGAACAGAGATCCAATTTACAGTTAACGGAGAGTGAGGCACTGTTTAAGACAATGACATCAGGGGATGGGGGAAAGCATGTCAACAAGAACAGAATTCTAAAAATTCATTTTCCTTTCCCACAGAGATGCTGGGTTAATTTCTACCACAGGCCACCTACCAATCCAACAAACCAAAAAAGTATCCTTCCCTCATTTTTCTATTATCTCAAGAAATGACCTTAAGGGGAGATAATAGCAATTTATAACCAAGGTTCAGTATCTTGATCATGGGATCTTAGTATTTTTAAGTTTGTAAAAGCTTATTTATTGTCAATATTTTCTGCCTGACTTTAATTTTTGGTTATGTTTTTCTTATAACATTATAGCAAATTTTGCAAATGTTCTGTTGACATTTAAAAATTTGGTATGTGTATTTGTAGAAAATAAAATTACTGGATACTTTTATGGTCCAAATACTCTGATAATACCCCAGTAAAAATGTGCCTCAATTTCTCCTACTTACTTTTGGCTTATGAATCACAAAAATATTATTCTTAAATCTTTGTCATTGACTCTACTTTTTATCAAAAATAATTTTTTATGGGGGTGCCTGGGTGACTCAGTCAAGCATCCCTAGGGGTATGTGTTCAAGTCTCATACTGGGCTCCACCCTAGGCATAGAGCCTACATTAAAATGAATAAGTAAACAGCTTTCTCTCCCAAAGTAATGTTTCTAAAATTACAAGCAATTTTGCTTTTCGTGTTTTTTTTAAATTTTGATTGGCTTACGTTATCTGTTTTTAATAATGTATAATTCTATTTCAAGTGTATCTTTTTTAAGCAGCAGGTCTGTGGGGGAGGAGGCGGTTCTCATACCTCTGCTTTTAAATAAAAGATTTCTGACATTTCGGAGTTGATTTTTGTTTTCTGTTGTACAGGTTACATTAGTAGATAGTCTCTTTATACTTAAAGTAGTGATTATCTTTGCTTTCTGTATTCTTAAACCTTTATCTGGGTTTCAGAATCACAATTA